TTGACTCTACTAATTTTATTATATTACATAAGTGATATATGAGAAAAGATATTGTTCCACATATGATAAAAAAAATAAAATAGACAAAAGAAACAAACGAAAATAACAAATAGTCGTTATTTATTAGATTAACATCAATATTTTTCTAAACATAATTCCCAAGAGTTCCAAACTTATATTTAATTTTTATATTTTTTTATTAACTAACTTGTATTTATAATTTTTATAATTATTAAAAATACATTATTTTATTATCATAATATATGTATTTATACTCTATAACTCCAATAAAACCTATAATTATAATTATAATATAAAACTAATATTATTAATAATGCATTTCAAAATCTATTGAATAATAAATACATATGTGTTAAGTAAAATTTAAAATTTCATTAGATACTATGAAATATGCTTCTAATTAAAGTGTAGATATTATTTCTTGCTACAATTCTATATAAGATAGTTGGTATCTATCTTTAATATTATTAAGTCCAGTATGGTAACAATCAAAGTTTAAATTTATTATTTTTTGGCAATTTTATTTGCATAGACATTCAATTTTAACAAAAAATACATCATCTAAATAGCTCTGGTTTAGGGGAATCTAAATAAAAAAAGTTCGCATAATTAAAATCACCTGTTGTGGTACAATTAGCATTTTAAATTTTGAAATTTTTTTATAAATTTCTAGTTGTCTGGTGACTTTTGATATCACTATAATGCAAATGCAAAGGTATCATTTTTGATAGATCTAAGATTATTTTTTTGATACACTTATTTTTAAATAACAAAGTACAACTTAATATATTATCGCATGATGTATAGAATAACAAAATCATGTGAACATTTAATAATTAGTTGAAAATGATGTATCAAAAAAATAACCATAGGTATATCAAAAAAATAATTATAGATCTATCAAAAATGATACTTTTGCCGCTATAACACTTTATTTTCAATTAACTATATTGTTTGTTTATGCTTCAATTATAAAAGTTAAAAGAAAGTTAACTTTTGCACAATTTATAAACTGTATAAATAATAAATAATTCCAAATATATGCATTTTTGAAATATCAAGCTGACAATGATTTATTTTAAATGATTACATACTGGTCTGCATTATTTAAACAAAACTATATTTTATAATTCCAGTGATCAAATAAAATAATAAAATATAAAATATAATAAAATAATGAATAAATAATTTTAGGGAAAATACAAAAGTTGTACAATAACACAATGAATCAAGGCTAAAAAATAAATATTCCAAAAAATTAATGTTTAATTTTCAGAATTTCATTTTCTTCAATTTCTTCAACTTTGCAAATTTAAAGATTGTTAATTTCATTTAGATAAATAATTAAACAATTATTAAAAAAAGAATACATGAAATATAATACTCACTTATATCAAACTCCATTGTTTTGTATCTAAAATAATAATGAATGTAAATATGTTATATAAAAATGTTAATTTATTTATTACTAAAATATAGATAATTACCATGTGTATTGGTTTTGAATTTCTTTGATTTCAGAAAAGGCAAATGTCTGCTTGTTATATTGCTTCAGTATGCATTTCATTGGACCATATTGAATAAAATTCTTGTTTGATTTATTTGCTGCGTTAACTTGTTTGTTTACTTGTTTTCTCATTTCATCACTTATTTCATTACCAAAAGGATCATATTTATCAAGTTGAGATTTCAATTCTTCAGCAGTTGGACGATTGAGAGGCTCAAAATTCCAGCATTTTTCCATTATTTCTTTAAAAAATTGAGGAATTTCACATTTAATTTCAGGTTTAAGCCCTTTTAATTATGTGGAATATTATAATATGGTAGATAACTAGTTAGAACTTCGTACATAATCATACCAAAAGAATAAATGTCAGATGCTTGACTATATTCTCCTTAACTCAATGTCTCAGGGGCCATGTATGAAATTACACCATAAATTTTTTCTGGATCATTTTCTGTAACTGGTTTGCACAATCCAAAATCTGTAATATAACTTAAAGTAAAAGTTTGATTAACTATATTACCAGAATGATGCATTAAGCCCATTTTATGAATATTTTTAAGTCCATTTACAATATTTGATAAAATATTGTATCTTTTCCTCCAAGTTAATTCTTTAAATTGTTATTTAATAGTTTTCGAAGACTACCATATTTTGCATAATTCATAACTATCATATATTCATTTTTTGATGAATTTTTAGTGATGCCATATATTGCAACTGTATTTTTATCTCGAAATTTAAGTTGATAACAAATTGTTTCATTTCTGCAAACATTCCATAGCCATAATGACTACAAATAGATCAAAAGCCACCCAAATCTTCTTGATAAACATATTGTTTGCCTTTCAAAAATGTAAAAAAAGTTGCTTGTTTAATATCATCTGAAAATTGATGGCTGAACTTCTCCCATAAAGGTTCTTTTGTATCTTTGAGATATTTTACTGGAAGTCCAGTTTTGATTTCAGTTTTGTAACTATGATTTGTTTTCATATCATATAAGCCACAATAAATTTGTATGATTTTAAAATGTTATAACTCTTTTCCAAAAAAAGGAATAAAAAAACTAAACTGATAAAAATAATCTACAGATCCTAAGCTTTAATTTTATCAGTTTAACTTTTTTATTTTTATATTAAAAAATAATTTTATAACAATTTAAAAAAATATATTTTTTATATGTTTATAAAAACCTCAAATTTCAGAATTTTTTTATGCAAAATCTTTGTGTAAAAAATATATGGTTGTAAAAAAATTGTAAATATTTATGGCCTGGCCTGTTAAATTATAACTTTTTGTTTTTATTCAATTTTTCTTTTATTCAATTTCTGGTTTTTTTTTTATCCAATTTCTGGTTTTTTTTTTTATTTAATTTCTGCATTTTTTATTTGATACCATACCGTCTTTTAAAAATTTATCTATCAAAAGTTACTAACCATGAAATTTCAGAAATTGTGGTCCATAGATGAAACGCGCCATACTCATTATAATATTATTTCATCATTCAAAAATTGCTACAATTGATCAAGTTTTTCTTGAGAAATTTTGCTTCGAGTAAAAAAACATTCAGTCCTTTTTTATATGTATCCAATGATTCTTGAATGTAATTCCAAAAATTTCAGTTTGACTACAAAAATAATTAGGTATTGGTTGAAGAAAACCGAGTTCATAAAGATTTTGTAAAGTTTCATAATCTTTATTTGAATTTATTGATTGTGTCCAAGGCTCAAACTATAGAAATAAATTTGAACAATTTGATAAATATTTTTCATATTCATTATTGTCAGTGCAAAAAGATTTGCTCCTCAATAAAATGTTAATAAAAATTTTTTTTCTTAAGTAAACTTTTTTTTTATTTATTTAAATCATATCAATACATGTTTGGAAGTATAATATATAAATTTTAAATAAAATTCATACATTATCATCAGAATCATCATAATTATCAAATTCTTCATCAATTAATTGTGTATTTTCATCAGACTCAAAATATTCCTTGGCATTTTTAAGTGCTTTTCTCCAAAATTCAACTATAACTGGTGAATTAATTTTATTTTTAAGTGCATTTAAAAGTGTATTTCGAATAGATAAAAGATTTATATGTGGACCCGAACTTGCAACTTCACCTTTTACAACTGTCCAAATGCCTGAAGTTCGCAGTGATAGGGAGGAGTAAAAAAACTTGATGATTGTATCGTTTTTCTATTCCAACACAGGAAAATGGAACCTTTTCTTTATTTATTTGAACTAGTTCAAAGTTCTGGTCTACGTAATTCACTAGAAAAAGAAATATTATGGGCAATTAGCCAATCAGCAATTTCTTTTTTTTTGTATTTGATATTGGAATATTTTTGATTCGCCATTTATGATAGCTTGCCCCATCCATATGAATATCTACTGGCCATAATTTTCATGAAGTTTTTACAAAGTGTTGCAAAGAGGTCTTCAAAAATTTCTGCATTAAAGTTTCCATGATAATCCACCTGATTGGAAACAATATTGGTATTTTTAACAATGTTGGAAACATCATTCTATTCTTCAGCATTGTTTCTTTTCCTTCCTTGGATTCCTGGGGGCTTAATTGATAGATCTCAAATAGAACAGAGTTTGGAACAAGTTCTCCATATAGTTTGTTCGAGATCCATTCTGGAATATAATAATTACTCCAAAAATTACAACTAATGGACCATGCCAGGTACTAAGACAACTCCGTGATGAGGAACCCATGTATTACGTGAAGAGTAATGCAAATGAAAGTATGACTCATCAAGAAAAACTTCTGGATGATGTGGGATATCATTTTTACCTTCTAAGTTATTAAAACAGAAGTGATGATAGTGTCAATGGAATGCAATATTATTTGATGATTCATTAAGAAGGTCTCTCCGCTTTCCTTAACTAAAGTAATAGCCCAAGCAATGTAATAATTGATGAAGCTACCACTTGGAAAATATATACCCTTGTTCAGAAAGAAACTGCTGTAAAACTGGTGTAGAAATTTGTTCACCTATTTTATTTGCATTCAAAATTTTTGTTGCAAAAGTTCTGCAACATTTTCATCAGGTTGTAATTTAGGTCGCCCAAGAATTTTTGGCAGTGTAAATGTACCATCATTACGTTTGTTCCAGTCTGCTGCCACATTCTCAACTGTTCTCTCAGCAACTCCCAATACTTTGACAACTTGCTTGCATAATGTAAGTGTCTGATGATCATTTTCTATGGAATTAGTCCTGGAAAAGTAGTTGTAAATATTAATTATCGTTAGTTTTTCATTCTCTGTAAGTGGTGCACCACTTCGTTTTAAAGGAGAAGGAAGCATAGTTAAGCAAAAAATTTCTGGTAAAGAATACATTTGGTTATCGTGTGAATTTCAAGCTGTTCATGCTGGTTGCACAAAATTTTTTACTTGATGTAAATCATATCTTTTTCCGACGAGGAGCAAATCTTTATCTCTATCATAAGACGTAATCTCTTTTCAACCCATATGTCGGAGCATTGATTTCCATCCACACAATTCTCGTGAATTCATTTGATATTTGTGTCCATATAATTGCAACAAAGAACTTCGCAATTCAATAATTCCACTTTCTTGATTTTTCCACTTTTCAATAAAATTGATATTAGATTTCGTTCTTCTTTTTAGATGATAGTCAAAATTTCTTGTAATAAAGATGTATATTGTTCCATTCTCCTTATACACGATGGAATTTCAATTGGTGAACTAATTCTTGTGTATATTTATTATCAATTCCAAAAAGTTTATTTGCATTAAATTTTGGTTCCCTCTCCACCGTAAATAAAAGGTGATTGATAACCCGTCCCAACATAATTCCATTCTTGATTTTTCAATAAACCAATCGCAATGGCTACTATTCTAAGTTGCTCCACAAAAAATTCAAAAGGTCGAAATTGAATATCATTCAATAATTGTTCTATGATAACCTGGTGATCAAAACCTATTACATGTGGTCCCGAAAATTTCGTTTTCGTATTGAAAATCTGTTGATATAGAACATAACTGCAATTGAAGAGCTTGTAGAAATTTCACTACTTATTAATCCACAAGTTGTTTGATATCTTGGACCAGGAAAATTTTATATATCAGGTTCTAAAATAGTTATAATAAAATCATAATTACTAGTTTAGTATTTGTTTTCATGCCTATTTGTATTGGAAATAAAAGTGTTATATCGTTTTCATTTCTTTCAGTTGAAATCCACCAGTATTGCGAAAATGACCCATAATGTATTTCAGATTTGATTTTTCCAACATTAAGAATGGTAGCATTGTAGTTTTTAATTTTTTTTTTTATGTTTTGATATGAGAAGTACGTTTCGACCGTTTATTCAATAAGTTAATTATCCCGAAAAATTACGGTTAAATTTGTCGATTGTTACATAGATCACGAATTAGGCATATATATGGGATCACCCACAGCAAAAAAAAAGACAACTTATTGAAAAATGTATTTTTTTTTGCTGCATTTTTTTAACAAATATTTATTTCAATAATGAAAGTGCAAATAAAGTTATTTAAGTTTACACGATTTATATTAGAAGTATTACAATTATTTTAAATTAAAAATTTATCACTCATTATAAAAATGTAAATTTTCGTTGCGCAATTAACAAGAAACCCCCTTTTTGCTGTGGGCGATCCTTATATTGAAATATGAATTTATAATTTGATACAAATTTAAGTATATTTGATATTTAAAATAAAAGTTATACTAAAAATAATATTTATCAAGTACATATCATTTCTAGTACAAGTATTATTATTATTATACTACTCATATTTTCATAAAAAGTCATCAAAATCTTTAGCAATTGGTCCTTGGATAGAAATAGGTGTAATAGTTTTGATTTCTTGTATTTCTATTGCAATTTTATTTTTTTCATTTAATTAAGATAAAATATTCTTGAAATGGCTGGCAGAATATAACAATTCTGAAATTAAAACGCCTTTGCAAATTATATGATAAACTTGATTATAATTGTTGAAAGATTACACACAAGAATACTTTAGCATTCTTTGAATAAAGTAAATATTTTGTTATAATAATTTATAAATTAACATCTATGATCACTCATAAAAGAGTTTGATCTATTTCAGAATAATAAATAATTTTTTTATTTATTAATATTCATGAAAATAATTTACTAATTTTAATTTGCTTACTTTATTCATGTTTAGTATGATCTTTGTTGCATTCCACCAATACAAACAATAATCCTTTTATAAAAATTTATATTCTGATTATATGATAATTGCATTTGGTAAGTAAATAGATTTCAATAATCATTTTTTTATTATAAGATAAGTAATATATTTATTCATTGATTGGATTTTTTTTAGGATATTACATTGATAATTGAAATGCGGAATTCTCAAGTGCATGTTTATAATGTAGTAAGCAATAGATGAGTTGCAATTTCCATCATTTCTCCACTACTTCTGTTCCTCCGATCTGAATAAATCATCAAAGCTTTAGTCAATGGGCTTGGAACAGGATTAGTGTTTTGATTATTGCTGTTATTCTTATTTTTCTTAAAAGAATAATTTGCATTCTCAAAATAAGAACTGAGAACTTGGATATTTATAAAATTATCATAACTTTAAATTTATTTTTTATGAATTATTTCTAAATTATAAAATTATTTTAATTATTTATGAAAAATAACTACACTTATGTAATTTGTAATATTTTATCTGAAATTTTGGAATTTTGTAATATTTTTTTTCTTAATTAAAAAACCAGCGTAATAATCAATATCTACAATTTATCTCATAATTGATGTACTATACAATGGACTCTTTAAATCATTAATAATAATTTTCACTATAAACAATTAGGTTATTAAATTATCTTCCATAAACGTTCATCCTAATGTCTTCGAATTTTTGATTTTAATTAAACAATAAAAATTTTCATAATTTTATTAATTTAATAAATTTAATACCATGTTTGTATAAAAGGCTTTTACAAGAAACGAAATGGTGATCGTCAAAGACAAATTGATCATAACTCTCGTATAAAAACAATCGTCAAGGAACAAATTGATCATGGTGCAATGTATATCTTATAACTATTAGGCTTGGCATGATTACAAAATTTAAGCTAATAACCGAAGAATTTGTTCATGTAAGTCCAGTCTTTTGGGAGTAATATTGGTTTCACTTAGGTCAATTAATTTTTCTTCAGCATTATTACCAACATTTACTAATTTGTCAAGCTCATCATCTTCAATCATCTCAAGTTACTTCCCTTCTTTGTCATCACCGTTATAATAATCTTCTTTTCTTCAGTTATTTCTCCCTTTTCAACTTTCTTTTCCACCATTTTATATTCACCTTCCCACTTCTCGACTTGAGAAAATACATCGAGTTTTTATCTTTGTGAAGAAAATCAAAATTAATTATTCATGAATCGAGGATCACCAACTGAATTAAATTTGACATTTTCATTTAATAACTAATAATAATAATTTAATAATTAAAATAATTATTTATAAAAAAAATTATTTGGATGTTGATAAATTAAGTGGTGCATATATTTATTAATATACTAATCTTTAATATTAGTGAAGAATGAAATCACTTTTGCTAATATTCTTAGGATGAAATTATCTCAAGAGTGAATAAGAAACAATTTTCAAGTAGAAATTTAAAAATCCAATAACATATCTGATGAATTAAGCATGTCCACCTTGATAAAATGAATAAAGAATACAGATAAAGTTTTCGAAACGTGGTAAAACGCTAATAGATATATCTTCAATTTCTTAAAATACTAGATCACATAATGGAATTATATATTGCCGTAAATTCTGATGATTTTGTTATGAATCAATTAATCAAAAATATACTATCATCAAAGAAATTCCCTACTTACTTGAACTAAATCATTATTATATGATAAATAAGAAAATGTCTTCTCTTCAGTTATGAATAGATTGAAGAAATATTGCATCAAGCCTAAAGTTGTGAGATGCACTTTTGAGGTATGATCTACATTTCGTTCGTAAAAAAATTCCTAAATTAAAAATAAAACAATACATTTTGTTAATTTAATAATTTAACATTTTAGAATTATAATTAATATTTACCTCTTATCCCAATGTAATTATCTAGGGGAAATAATTTCATATCTTTAATTTTTGCTTTTAATAATAAAATAAATGTTAAATATAATAATTTTTGATTGATTTTTCTCTAATAAAATAATTTTATCAAGAACTATTCATCATCATCAATTGTCATAGAAACATTAATTCTATTTGAATTATTTGAACATTGTTAAGATCTAGATATTGTAATAATTACCTAAATTGATGAATTCGTCCTTAAATTTCCGTTCCAATATCTCATCTCTTAATATAAAGAAAAATAAATAAATTAATTACATCCTTTCTAATTTGTATAAGCTTCATCAAAAAATTTGATATCATCAGGAATGCCTCAAAGCTGTTATTTTTCAGCTAATAAAAAAAAATGTAATTCAAAACTTGATCTTTGGAATTATAACAGATAATGGCAATAGAACTGTTTCTCTTACCTCAGATTCTTCTGTAAAAAAGAAATATGTATTGCCATGATACCATAATAAGGTAAAAAGTATACCCTCTCTCAATAATTCAGGCATTGAATAAAACATAATGCATTTACAGATATAGATATAATTTTTATACAAATTTAATAAATTAGTCGACAACATGAACGATATAATTTTATTTTATTTTTATTTATTTATTATTATTTTTCATAATCTCATTAATGCATTAATGATTTTGTGCTTATCATTAGATAAGAGCTTATCAAAATAGTCTTATAGAAAAGAACCAATGAAGTGTAATAGAAATTGCATTATTTATATTTAACGGAACAAAACCTTATAGTTCATTGTATGATGAAATCTTTCATATTCATTCGTTTTTGAAAAAATCACTCGAAAATTTTATTCAAACATATAATATAAAAAAGTGGCTCGAAAATAATTTGTTGCGACTCTAAATGAGATTTTTTTTTACTCTCTAAAGGACGCCTTTTGCATTTTGAATATATAATCACATCCCCTTAAACGAAATTGGGTTATAATAATTGTTTAATCTTATAAGTCTAAAAGTTGAATGAATAAAAAGAAAAAAGAAGCACGGCATATAAACCACTCCTAAAGAATAAGATACAAATATGTACGCTTTTTTTTTGACAATTATCATGATTTTTATCATGATCTTTATCACTATCTTTATCACTATCTATATCACTAAGTTATTATTTTCATTGTTTCTTTATTATTTAGCAATTGAATTTCAATTGTAGAAATGTGGTTTTTTTTTTACATACGTAATAAACTTACACAAATTTAAAGCTCCTAATGTGACAGTTCAGTTCAGTTCTAACATTGAACTGGAACTGAACCAAAATTTAAAAACTGGTTTTGATTTGGAACTGAAATTTAAAAATATTGAACTGAACCGAACTGGAACCAAACTGAACTGAACCAGTTTGCACCAGTTCAAAATGGTTCAAAAAATTTTTTTCTGTCAGAGTTTGTTTAACTATTATATTAAATTATAATATAAAACTGTTACAAGAGTAATTCTTATAAGTTTAAAAAAATAATTATATATAGAAATTGTAAAAATTTAAATATAATTTTATTTATATAAATAATATTTTTCAAAATATTATAAAAATTTACATATTTTC